AAAAAAAAAAAAAAAACAGAAACATATGAAAAATTAGTATCACAACAAAAAACAAAAACAAAATGTAATACTCGTACACAGCGAAGAGTAGAGCACAAGAAGAAGAAAAAAAACTCATCACAACTTTCCAACAACCAACAAACATTTCCAATGACAATGAAATTTTTCCCATTCTGTTCTGTGTTCTGTGTAATGTTCTCGTGCCGTACATACTTCATTACAGCATAAACAGTAACACAAATACACAACGCGACACACACACAAAACACACAAATCAATGCCAACGAGCACACACACACACACACACACACTCCGACACATCGGTACACTTTAAGGTTGTCATTCACACTCAATTGCAGCGTGTGTGGGAATATTTCGTGTACATGCGCGCCACTCCATTTCACATTCCAATGCAACGACTATTGTGAATGGGCATTGTTTATTTGTTTATCATTTGAATTCTGTGCGAAACTCACCACGACCCGTGTTGAGTTTGCGTTGTAAAGGGATTTTAAAACAGCAGTAACTGCTTATCACTTGGGAGTGTGGTGAGTTTGTTACGAAAATAGTACTCGCGTAGCAATCTTGTTTTATTTACATTCATGTACCATAGTTAAGTGTACTTTGTTGTTGTTATTGTTGTTGTTGATGTTATTATTATTTATGTTTTGTTTTTGGTTTACGCATTTAATATTGTGGCAGGCTTATTTTAATTAGATTTTGAGTATTACATTTTTTTTTTTTTATTCGATTTGGTGGTGAAGAATATTTTAACAGTTGAATTCATTTTTAAAGGAGCGAGGGGAGTAGGGGTGAGATTTTCTTATAAAAACATTTTTTATAGGATTTAAAGATAATATCGTTATAATATGTCTAGTTAATTTACTGGCTAATTTTTTTTTTAAATAAATATAGAATATTTATTTAAGCTTTTGTTGTAAGCAGCATTGATTAATACTGTATGTATATGACAATATACATACGGATATGACAACAATTATTAGACTGTACATAATAAGGTGTTTACACTTAGACTTATTGCACTCCTACTTAGCAAATTATATATGAATTTTGTTAGAAAAATGTTTCATATTGCTGTATGTTTGTCGAGTGAAGTCTGTTTCAATACTCTAAACATAACATATGTTGGAGCCAAAAGTGAACAAGTCTTTGAAAAAATACATATTTATAATGACGCCATCTATTGTTAATTATATGCGTCGGTAAAAAAAGTACAAAAACTTTTGTACTCACAAAATTGCACATCATTTGAACGAAAAGAAACAGAGTTATTGCATTTAAGTGATAATTCTTCTAGTTGTTTCGTTTATACCAAGAATTTTAGATTGGAGAAAAAGTATCGAACGATTTTTTTTATAATTTTGTTATTAATTTTTTTTAGCTTTATTTTATATTTTAAGCAATGATTTTGAAATGATTGATTATAAATATCAATTTTTTCTTCTAGTTGTTAACAGTTAATTAAAGGCATATCTAAAATAAATATGATTTCGGAAAAAAAATTGCATTTGAAGTAGACATGTGAAAAGATTTGCGTTGTAAATGAGGTGAATGGATACTATCAGAATTACTTGCCAAGAAATAGTACTCTCATTTTATTTTTATAAATTAGTACATAAAAAATCTTTGGCTTAGAACTGAAAAGACAAAGAAAATAAGAATAATGCTTAAAGAAACCTAAAGATTAACCATAAAACAATTTTAAAAAATTTATATGAAGTAAGTCGCTTAGAACCGAAAAGACAAAGAACATCTGATACACAATAAATCAGAGTGGATAATATTATATGAAAATGGCAAGAATCGAAATAAAGCAAAGCTCCACGAACTGTGTTGAAGCCGAAATTGATGACAAGCCAGGCGATGTAGCTTATGGTATTGGAAGCAGATTGCACATTATGAAGTACATCCAACTGTTTGAATGATTTGAATGGTTGGTTCTGTTTCACTTGAATAGGAGAGTCGAGCCTTTTGGCGTTGCCAGTATGTAGACCACTGCAGTTCTTTCGCGAATCCTTCCAGTCTGTGTGAAAATAATGCTAACTTGTAATATCACAACGGGCAATTATATTAGCTGTAGTGAGATTTGGGTACAAGGCCCCACCTAAATCTAACCTAACTTAATGTAACCAACTGCTATATTCGAATTCTTACAAAATGCAATTAATAAAGTTAATTTAAGAAATTGAAAAAAAAAGCAGACGAGCCGGATTTGATCAGGAAATTGAAATTTCAATAATTTCGGAATTGAAATATTATGATCCTTTCCAGGCCATCT